TTTCATTCAGTACTGAAAACCATCTGAAAATATTTCAGTGTAATAAAAATAGACTATTTTACCCAATATTTGTTTGCTAAGTAAATTTGTTTATTAGAACACAAAAAAATCGTTTTTCTCCATTTGAGCATTTTAAATCAACCCAACGAGGTTCTGTTTCTGTTCTGCCTATGTAGAACAAAGCATTTGAATTAATAGTGAACATGAACTTTCTGATGTAATATTAAAATCCATAACTAGTTGTAGTGTGTTTCTGTTATACAAGTATATACAGAGCTTTTTTACCCTTGTGCATCCTGACATATTCTTATTTTATTTTTTTATTTTTTTTTACATAGCCTTTTTTTTCATTCAGTTCATTTGGGTTCTAACCAGGGACACACATCTCTGTTTGCTCAGGTTTTGAATGGAGATGTTGAAAATGCCATTTGCCTTCATGCCTTCTACTATGCAATTTGGAAGCGTTTCGGTGCTCTTCCGGAAAGATACAACTGGCAGCTTCAAGCCCCAGATGTTCTCTTCTACCCTTTAAGACCAGAACTAGTAGAATCCACATACCTACTCTATCAGGTACAACCTGTTTTTTTTTATTTTTTTATAACCAGATTTTTTTACTTTACAGCATTACAGTACAATTAACGATAAACTTTACTTTCTGCAGGCAACCAAGAATCCTTTTTATCTTCATGTTGGGATGGACATTCTTGAAAGCCTTGAAAAAGATACCAAAGTCAGGTATATGGTTTAAAATGCTAGGAAGTTATTTGATTGGGATGCTGGCATGTTTTCAGGACAGATGTTTTGTTTATATGCTTCTCAGGTGTGGTTATGCTACACTCCATCATGTGGTGGATAAGTCCAAAGAAGATCGCATGGAAAGTTTCTTCCTCAGCGAAACGTGCAAGTACCTTTACCTGGTTAGTTGTCTGCTGTTCTCGCTTTATATTTTCCTGTTCTCACTTCTTGCATCTAGTCTTTTTTAGCCATACTTTTATTTGAAAAACGACAAACATTTTTAGCCAAGTTTATCAGTCAAACATTGTCAAGTTTCATGCAGCTGACATGTCCATCACTAATTGATATTTTACAACCCTTTATAGCTCTTTGATGAAGACAACCCACTGCACAAGTCTGAGAGTAAGTACATCTTCACTACTGAAGGCCACGTAGTGCCAATAGATCAGCGCTTCAGGGAGAAAAGTTGGGAAGACCAATTCCCGTGTGAAGAGCCTAACAACGAGCCCCCAGCCAACATAAGCAACGTAAGAAATTGATTTAATACACAGTATCGGTATTTCCACTTATGAATATGAATAGTGGTGTGGATCTTACTAAATGAAACCAGTTTTACTGTCTTTTACTAAAATGTGTTTAGGGGTAAGTTTTTTCAGTCAGCTTATCCAGTCAATTATATGCTCCTTCAAAACTTGCCCTTTAATGATATTTCCTTAAATGCTGCTTTGTCATGGTACAGTCAAAAAACAGTAGTGCATGGACATGAATGATAATGATTCATTCACTTACAACAGTCATTCACGACTGCACTAATAGTGAAATTATGTTTATATATGTATCACGATTAATCGATTTGACAGCTCTAATTTAATATAAATATAAATTATTTATTTTTTGCTTTTTTGTTTCTTGATCATTTAAACATAAAACTGCTAAAACATAATTTACAATGTTCTTACAGTGTTTAAAGTAATATTTTGTCAGGGACATGACAATAGATCTTGAAAGTGGTCATAGAAATAAGAATGACTTATTTTCATTTGTCTAATAGTGTGAAAGGATTCCTGAAGAGCGACGTTACGGCCTTCCGCTAAAGAGCATATACATGAGGCAAATAGACCATATGGTGGGGCTGTCCTGACATCAGTACTGTCCCTGGACATCTCCGCACATATAAACCCCCTGGAGGGGTTCAGTAACTCTTCAATCAGAGAACTTTTCAGTGTCTTTTTGCACATGAAGTGGCAAGATATTCGGTCAACAAATCAACCAGTACCAGTTGTTTTTTTTTTTCATGAAAGTTGTCTTCTGTGGTCATATATTGTCTAAATGTGGACCAGGTGTTAGGGTTTGGCTACATATTAAGATCCAGCCAGCAAAGGTCCACAGCTTAACAAAAACACATTCAGGGCAGTTTGGCTCTTCAGAATCCTAAATGCATTGCAAAACTGCTTTTGATTCTTTGGGCTGATCGATTTCTGTATTGTGCAATCAAGTGTGTTTTCACACACTGTTACATGTTTTCTTCAGTGCCATGTTTAATGAAACTTGATCTAGTATTATAAAGGGCTCTACTGGGTTGAGATGGTATGTATGCATGTTTCAGATTTTCTTCTCAAGGAACAAACTCTCATATAAGCTTTATATTTCAAAAAACATTATTTTTTTTTTTTACATCGTTCAGGAACACACACAACAGATGGGCTTCATTTCAGACAAATCAAACTGCATTCTGAAAAAAATTTCACTTTGCAATATGACACATTCTTTGTTTTTTCATACTTTGTGCCTTGGTTTGCAAGGTGTAACCATTCTGTTTTTCTGCTGTCAGTCTATTGTGATAAAATCGGAAAGGTTTTGTTATGTAGCGTACATGTTTAAGGTGTGAAATCTCCACTCACAAGTTATTTTGACAGAGCAAACCTCATAATTTGGTACATTTTACATAGTAGGTCGAGGAAGTGCTGTTGATTCTCTCTCAATAAGGTCTGAACATCTAGTAATTAGTCTCCACTCCTGTATTTTGTATGTAAACAAACATGCAACATAACATTTATTGGACCAAATATTACATTTAACAAAAAACATGTGCCTTTAACAAATCTCATTTTTATTTTTCTTCAGTCCTCAGGATCAGTATAGTATGCCATAATGCAGTCACTCAGAGGTGATATGCATGTGCTGTGTAAGTAATGTTGTTAACTCTTTTAATGCTTAGATCTTGGTGCAAATGTTCTCCAAACAAAAGTCAGAAATAAGGGATTCTGAGAATGATCAGTATGCTGATAAGAGAAGAATTAATTTCTTTGATATTACAGATTATAATTTCCTTGGGGCACATACAGAGGATACTCTCAGTAAATAGGGGTTGATATTTATTCAGATTTGTTTTTATCTGATGCAAGTATTCTAATTAAAGTTGATTAGATTAATGTTGATCTGCTTGATGATTTCATTGTGATTTAACCTTTAGTCCAACGAGACAAAGGTGGATGGCTACACTGTATTTTATCAAATCAAAATTAAAACCATGACTTTGCAAAACTGTTTAACAATCTACCTTGATGGAGCTGCAAAAGACACAAAATACAATGTACAATGGTACAGTCAGGTCTTGATATTCTTAAGGAAAAGTTCTGGGTTAAACAGTTTTAACTGTACAAGTACTGTAGCATCTCTGGCTTACAATCAGTCATCACAGAAAACAATGTCAAAGTTATTTTCTGTGATCAATAAGTTGTAGCTAAACCTCTCAAAATTAATAAACCGGGATATACTGGTGTTAAGAGGCTTTAATGTTTGTTTGTGTATGTGTTTTATAATATACAAATTGATTAAACAAATATTCATACATGATTAATTAAAATATAAAAATTCTCTAGAAATAATTTTTTCGTATATTATGCAAGTAGGCTATATATTAAACACTCAACCCTCCCAATGTGGTTTATGATACTAAAGCCTTCGTTCAGGACACTTAAAGGACAAACACATCAGGTTCAGTCTTTTCTACAGAAGCTTTATTCATTCAGTTTACATTTGCTTGGTTGTTTATGGTTTTGCAGTCAATTGTGTCATTTTAATCAATATTTGCTGTTGTATTTTTATCAATGCACTCAAAAATTTTGTTCTTTGTCTCTCAGCCAGCTGCTCCTGAGCTAAACAACTTAGTACATGCTATCTTTTCATCAAAGTCATCCATCTTACATAGAGATTCTGATGGGACATACATAACATGATATAACTCCTCTGTAAAAGATATAGAACATTGTATCCCAGTCAAGTCGAAACTTTTCTCAATCAGCTTAAATGTCTGAACTTTACGCAGTAACTGCTATAACGTATAACTGAAATACTTCATAATGTACTCTTGCAAAACATTATGCTGAAGTGCATATGCAGGTGTTTCAGAAGGACGGTTATTTGTTTTACAGCTGTGTGAAGTGTCGTCGTAAATCTACAGGACAGATCACTGCAAAAAAAAAACTAATAGAGCCGAACACACCTCATATATGTGTTGGTATGTATGACTTGCTGCTATGAATATATATTAGGCTCTGATATTTAATTACATGCAGTGTGTTTAATCAAGTGTAGATCCCAACAACTATATAACTTTCATCTTCAAGATTTAATCAATTCAGTTCCCTCATGTATTTGTATATGTGTGTGCGCACTGGAGAATTCCTTATTACCCAGGGAGAAAAACAGGCTACAAGGGGCAATGGGTCAGTATTGGGTTTTGTTGATTAAGCCGCTCTGTAAACGAAGAAAGACTTTTTAATTATGCACATACAGAAATTGTAGCGCAATTTAATATGCTACAACAACATAATGCATTACTACTTAATATTTATGATATTATATTATAATCACCTCTTCCCACACATTGCTTGTTTAGAAGAGACCGCAGTCTTTGAGATTTTCTTTGATGATAATGTCTGTTACGGCATCGAACACAAACTTGACGTTCTCTGTGTCTGTGGCACAGGTCAAGTGGGAGTAGATTTCTTTGATGTCTCGTCGCAAGTTCAGATCTAAGAACTGCATCTTGATGTAGTTACCAGCATCCTCAAAGGTGTTGGGACCTGAGAGAAACATGGCATTGTAATTTTTAGCATGGTTTTGCATATCAGAAACAGAAGCCTAATTAGGATATTTGTATCTTAATAGAAGTGATGTTCCATGATGAACCCCTACTTAAAATGTGTTAATATTATCAGTTTAAATAATCTGTTTAAATGATAAGAATCTGTATGTTAAAGGCATTCGGTTCTTGGGTTGGAAGGACATGGAAAAACAGGGTTTATTACTAAAATGCCTCATAGTAATAGTGCATGTAAAACGTCTGGTTGGAGTTTCATTGATGGACCACAATGGCAACCACCTACCACTTCATCATCCTCCACCAGCACCATGTCGTATGCGCTCAGAGCAGCGATGAAGATGATACAGGTCACACCTTCGAAGCAATGGATCCACTTCTTCCTCTCCGAGCGCTGACCGCCCACATCAAACATCCTGCAGACCAAGAAGATCGGTTTATTGACATTGGTGTCCATTCAAACTTATCTTCTTCAATTCTTCTTGACACTTTTGCATTCTTAAACTTGGAATTTTTGAGATGATGAAGGTTATTATTGGTTTACTTCATGCCATTCTTTGTATTTTAGGTGTACCTGAAGTTGAGGTCCTTGAAGGAGAACTGGGTCTCGATGATACCGGTGGTCTTCACTCTTGATCGCAGGACGTCCTGCTCAGTAGGGACATAGCCAGGCTTGACCAACCTCTCCAGGTCATTCAGGTAGCTTGGAGATAGAGTAAGAATCAATACAGTATTTCCCCATACTTAATGTTTCAAAGATGATTTGATTACTGTTTTGATCATGTATATTAAAACCTTGTTAACTGTTATTTCATGCTTTAAAAGACTAATTATGATGCCATACTATCCGGCAGAGTCGTTGAGCTGGTATTCGGAGGCTCTGTCAAAACACGCCTGGATGCCTGAGTCCTTCCACAGCCTCAGGATGATGTCAGACAGCTCCTTTGGCATGGTGCCTTCCTCGATGGTGTCTGCTAAGTGCATCAGCTTCCTTGCATCATCCTGAAACAAACCGGTAAAATGGTGTAAAAAAAATAAATTGTTAGCTTGTATGGATTTGGGCTGTTGTAACTAAAGGTGTTCAAGCATTAGCTTCTATACAAACTTTTCTAAAGGGATGATGTGAGTGACTGTAAATACTGAAAAATCCTTTATCATGATTTAATAGTCTCTTTTAGATGTGTAACATTCATGACCTCTCCTAATAGTCTATTTTTTTAAATCCTTCCGTTATTACGGTTTTGTTTTGTAGTATACAAGATAATACTAATTCAGTCCTTCTACTTAAAAATGTCACATTTAATTCAGTGTGTTACTATAAGTGAAAACTGTTTCAAAGGAAATTTTCTTCATTGCAGGAGCTTTTAAAAAAATGAACACATCCTGGAGTTATAATACATTGTATACTCTAGGATGCATTTAGTAATTAATCTGATCTACGCTTTGTTGTCACAACATACAAGTCAGTTACAGTTTTTTTCTGTTGTGCATACATTTAAAAGAAATATCTGTAATTCATTTCTGGAATTACAATTGTAATTAATACTTTAGAACCTATCCCTGCCCTTACCAAACAATGAATGTTTTTGACACATACAAATACACAGTAGTTAAACACACCTACAATAAAGTGGGATTCTATATTTTTGGTCAAGGCAGATGGCATAATCATTCAATACCATAGTATTACCATCTGATATCATCATTGTGCCATGCTATCACTACAGTTCTTTTCCATCATTTAACCTGTTTATTTATGCAAATGACTAATGGATGCTTGAATGTTTGAGTAGAGCACCTGTGCAGCAGCATCTCCATAGGAAAGGTTGAGTGTGCTCATGGCCCTTACAATGGCCAGGATCGACTGCATGGTGTTGCTGTAGATGATGACAATGAACTCCAAGCACTCTTCAAGGGAGTAACCATCTTTGTGAATAATTCTGTCATAAAAAAAAAAAAAATGAATGGACCAAGCTATTCATATGAAAAAGCACTGAATATGAATTAATAGTGAGTATAGACTCGCATTAGCCAATTCATTGTATTATCAATCATACTTTTTTTTTTTTACTTAGCACTTACTTCATCTGTTTGACAATTGTGCTTTTCCCCGACTCACCAGCACCTGAAGAAGATGGTAATCAATTTAGTATTGCGGTTATTGCTTTAATTCATTTTTATTGCATGCATATTCACCGCTGTTCAAAAGTGTAGTCGGTAAGATTTTTAAATGTTTTTGAACAAAGTTTCTTCAAAATGCTCACCAAGGCTGCATTCATTTGATAAAATATACAGTAAAAACAGTAATATTGTGAAATTATTACAATTTAAAATAACTGTTCTATTTTAATATTTTTTTAAATGTAATTAATTCCTGTGATGCAAAACTGAATTTTCAGCAGCCATTACTTCAGTCTTCAGTGTCACATGATCCTTCAGAAATCATTCTAATATGCTGATTTAGTGCTCAAGAAACATTTATTTTTATTATCAATGTTGAAAACAGTTGTCCTGCGAAATATTTTTGTGAAAACTAATATATTTTTTCAGGATTCTTTGATGAACTAAAATAACAGAACAGTATTTATTTATTGATATAGAAATCTTCAACATCAAACTTTTGTAATATTATGTCTTAATGTATTAAAAAAAGAATATATACGTACATGCATACATATATATATATATATATCAAATTTTTATTACAGATTTTTTCTGAAATTAATTGTGATTAATCCCACCTAACATTAAAGTTTTTAAATATACTTTTATATTGAAACTTGAATATTGAACTTAAAACAATCTTCACATAAACCCATTATAATAAATGTCATATTTAGCTGTGCCCTTCAGCAAGTAGGAAATATACAGAAATTGAGTAAAGTTATCAAACACTAAATTCTAAATTAAATATAGATGAGTCCTTAAAGCTCTTTTTTCTTTTGTTCTTTGATTAACAGACCTCAAATAATAATAAAAAAAATAAAAAATAACGCAGTTAAACTGAAAAAATTCATTGCATGCGTTAACACGCTAATTTTGACAGCACCAGTATATATATATGGTTTTTGAATATATATATATATATATATATATATATAATTTTTATCTATTCGAAAACCATAGATCTACATTGTGCCAGTGTTTTGAGGGGTAACACCACTAAGATTTGTCAAACTGTAGGCATTCAAACAGTAAGATTTATTTATTTATTTTGGCATGCAAATGTGAATTAATGAATACATCCTTCTCCTCGATTGTGTTTATCTTTTGGAGGATTACATTAAGAGGCTTATTATTTTTGTCCTAAGCCTTGTCAAAGCTTGACGTCCCATGACCCTGACCTACATCACCTCACGGACAAAGACACACACAGTTATGATAGACAGAGATACAACTTTTGTTGAATATAAATGCATACTTTTAATACGTATTGATTCTGGCATGCAAGTTGTTTTCTAGGCATGCAAGTTGTCACTTTTAGTGTCTTTTGTAATAAGATTTAGATATTGAGAAATATCACATTTATGAGTCTCCAGTTTGACTCCACTTTGGTTTGAATTTCAGTAAGGCATCAATTTTCATCTTGCATGTGAGCTTTAAAGAATTAATATTCCTTTCATATAACAAAAAACAAATTGATAAAACAAAATGTGAAGTCATTGCCTGTTTATTATGAAGTTTTAAATGGGAAGGCTTCACAACACATCTGCAATATACCGTTTTCCAAATCTAGCAAATGAGCTATTCTTCATGTTTTGACTTGAACAATCATTTGAGTCGACTTGTGTGTTGTTACCTAGCAGCAGAAGTTTGACGGTCCTGGCATCTTTGTCGGCGTCCTCTTTCAGTTTCTTCTCTAGCTCCCTGGAGTGTTTGTCCTCGGCGCTCCCCCCGGCCCCCATTCTGACTCTTGATTAGGGAAAAGAAGTCCTTCTGTATGACCACTCGCTTGTCCAGAGGCCTCCAGGTGCTGACAACAATACAGCTCACACCTCGACTGGATCTTGGTGACCTGATGAATTGTTTGGAGTCTTAGAAGGATTTTGGAGATGTCTCTGACCACCTGGGTTGGTGGGGCCAATGAAGAACAAGGACAGAAGGCATTGAAAGCGTGGAGAGGTCATCTAACCTCAGATTTAAGGAGAAGGTGCTGCGCTCAGCAAAAAGTGTTAATCTGGCCAGCATCTTCACAAGCACATGAGAAAGGCCATGGAGAATGTGTGAGTGGAATAATGTGATGTTGCAAATGTTACAATTGTTTGCCATCAGCTGATGACCGTTATGATATTTAAGGTAGAAGCTCAAAGTAAATGGGTCTCATAAATGATTGGTTATGTTGACTTGGAACTTGATAAGTTTTCCTATATCTATATTCTGTTGAAAATGTGCTTGACCTCATGAAAGAAAATTACATCTCTATGGCCTACATTTTTGGCTTTTTCAATAGAACTTGGACTGAATGTGAAGGTGTTTTTGATGTTGAATATTGAAATCTCTGTGAGTAATTCTAATCTCACCTTCCCACTGTAGTCATCAGGATCAGTCATCAGGATCATTTTCCAGCGGACACAGTGTGCAGTGCAGCGTTTTAAGAGCTTTAGTCCTTTACCTGACAGAGCTCATTGACCCCAATCTGAAGATTGATACATTTTAATCCACAGGTATCACAGATGAGAGAGACACTTTCTTCATTGTACTTCATCAGTAGCAATTCATTTCAATATTTTGAGAGTTTGTTGCAAGTTGTTTAATACATGTTTAATGATTAAATGATCATGCTTATCTTGTTAAACATTGTTAAAAAAAATACTCAAAAACTAGTATTAATAAAGCTTTTCTTAGGCCACATTTTATAATAAAGTTTCCGTAAAGAAACGTTAACATCCATAAAACCTTTCATCTGCACAAAAGGTTCTTTATGGTGGAAAAATGTTCTTTATATGTCAGGGGTGTCCAACTCAATTCCTGGAGGGCCAGAGCCCTGCAGAGTTTAGATCCAACCCTAATTAAACACCTGATCCAACTAATTAAGTCTTTTCAGGCTTATTTGAAAACTACATGGTATGTGTGTTGGTGCAGGGTTGGAACAAAACTTTGCAGGGCTCCGGCCCTCCAGGAATTGAGTTTGACACCCCTGTTATATGTTCTTCACACTAAGAAAAAAACGGTACGTTTAAGAGCTCTTCATGGAAAGGTTCTTTGGCAGTGTTTCTCAACCCTGGTCCTGGGCGCCCCCCAGCACTGCACATTTTGTGTGTCTCCCTAATCAAACACACCTGATTCAACTCATTAGCTCATTAAAAGAAACTCCAGGACCTGAAATGGGTGTCAGATAAGGGAGACATACAAAATGTGCAGTGTTGGGGGGCGCTCAGGACCAGGGTTGAGAAACACTGTTCTATGGCATCGCTGAAAAATCCCCCTTTGGGAACTTATATTTAAGAGTGTACAGTGGATTAAAAAATGTATTTGCATTTGTGCTGGGGACATACACTCTGAGTATTAATTGGGCTATTCTTAGGAACCAGTGCCACTTCTGCAACATTTTTGTCCTCAAGACTTAATGTAGGGTATAATTAACAAGACAATGAACAGTTATGTTTGATAGATTTATCTCGGTTTAGTTTGTAATGCAAAAATATTTTTTAAAGAAAACAGATTTCCATGTGTTTTTTTTTTTTTTTCAAATGTTCCATTCAGTGATCAGATTTTTTTTTCTTGGCACAAGTTACACTAATATTAATTAGAAAATGGCTAAAACTTTCACAACTAGCAAACGTTATCACACCATACCACATTATTTCGGTTACTTTTGTGAATTACAGAAATCATGTTTTGAAATAATTTTTTTTTATGAATGCCAGAGATGAAATAATGCAGCATATAATCTTATAATCAGTATTAAAGAAGATACAAATCACACTTGTTCTTGTGAATGACCCTAATGTAAAATTACCAAACAATGTACAGTTAATTAAATAGGCAAATCAACATTTTAAGATCAGCTTCCTTGGTATACTTTTGGTGTAAAGTGAACAACCTAATTTCTTATCGTAACCTTCTTCGGTGTCTCTTTTAATCCTTATGTTAAGTCTGCAAAAGTAAGGAAGTATAAGTTCACCCAGTAATATATCTGCAGTAAAGCCAACCTGTATTTGTTATAAAATATATAACTTTAATTAGTCAACAACGATGGAAAAAAACATTACTATAATATTAACTGTTCATAACATCTAATTCTGGATCTTTTTCACATTAGAATATCCTAAAGAAGACAAAACAAGGGGGCAAACCGCAGTGATGAATAATGTCTTACAAATGAAAGGAAAAAAATACATTTACAACAACCATTTCACACAGCCTGTTTGCTAAGCCTGTTGAAAAAAAATCAACGGTGGCAAAACAGACACATCGGGTAATTGTGCTTGATTTCATCACTAGTTCAGCAAAGTCCACTGTCTTTAAAAAACAGTCTCTCTCTCTCTCTCTCGATTCATTATGTCAAAGACCATACAGCAACACAACAATATCCAGAATTTGACTACATATCTGTACAGTACAAATACAATTCATGCAAACTCAAACAAGCCCCCTAAAGTTTAGTTCCAAATGTTTTAATGCTTTCAAATGATCACCTATTAAATGTTTAGAGGTGCTTGCTTGGACGCTTATTACTGAAAATGGCTGGAGAGGTACATATTTAAAAACAACACTTTAAACAATTCTGCTTTGCAAAGAGATGGACAGGTTTTGAACCCCCCGCTTTTCGACATTCTTTGCGTGCAATACATATTTATATAAATGAAAAGAACAGAAAAGTGATGTACATACTGTACAGGAGGCTGTAATCAATAATAAACCAAACGTATAACACACAGAAACGACTTTATATTTTACACACATTAGCATAGCAACATATGGAAGATCAAGAAGATTAAAAGATGAGTTTCTGATGATATTAAAGTGTTTTTCGAAGTCTTTTGGGAGGTCACAGAATACTCAGATGCACCAAATATATGTAGAAATTCTTTATCCGTACATCTGCAGAATGAGAACACGTGCTCGGCTAAAACAGTCCGCCAACCGGCTTTAGTCCCATCTTTCCTCCAGTATCAAAACATCAAGTGCAGTCAAACTGTCCATCAAGAGTTTCAAATGTCCAACTATCCCATTAGTGGTATATACATAAAGTTTTATCATAACAGTCACGTGTGTTATTATGTGAATACTGTTGTAATAAATATATTGGAAGAAAAGTAACAATGATAACAAAATATTTGCACAGATCTATACACAAAACATTTTTTGTCTCTTATTTTTTTTTTGCTATTTCCATACAAAGATATCCACAGAATCTAACTATGTACAGCCTACAATAAATACTATGAATTTTCGAAAACGGATTGTTTATTTTTTCCTCGGTCATAATGGTTGCGGGTATATGTTTGTGTGTAATGGTAGTCAAAGACCTTGAGGTCAACCTTAAGTCTCATTCATTTGGATGGAGTGGGTTTTTCCGTCTCATGTCTCAGCCATGCTGCTCTGCTCCTGGTGGTGTCTCCTGTTTCGTGGCTTCCGGAGGTCCTTCTGTACTTCCTTGAGGTCCTTCTTCTTGTGTGCGTGAGCTGCGGGGTCGTCTCCCATCTGCCAGTAGTCCTGGCAGTACTGGTTGATGAGGCCCATCTCTGGTTGGCTGAGGATGGTCAGCAGGTCTTTGTACTGCTCTGCGCTGGGCGTCCAGGCGCTGGACTGGAGAGGCGGTGCGGCGGGAGCGGTGGATTCGGTCTGGATGGTGTTGATGGTGCGGGCGGAAAGGACCACCAACTGAAGTTTGACCAGTGTGTGCTTGAAGTTCTTCTCAGTGGAGGTGCACAGGTAAACCCCTCCATCAGAGAGCTGGAGAGAGCGCAGGAAGAGACCCTGCTCCGTACGAACGACATGCCCGTCAGAACGGATCTGAAATGCATAGGTTGTTGGGGAAAAAAATTAAGATTTTAGGTTAAAATGTACATTAATGCAAAAAGGGATTTTTTTAATGTACTGGTCATAAATTTTTTTTTGTCATAGTTTCATTCACATAGGACGTATCAATAAGCATGACGTCAAAACAAAATACATAATTAAAAATAAATACAATTTTGGAAAAAATGTAATGTAATGTTTTTTCATGTCATGTCTCATATGCTCATCAAGGCTGCATTTATTTTATGAAAAATACCATAAAACAGTAATATTTTGAAATATGATTACAATTTTAAATAACTGTTTTCTATTTTAATATATTTAAAATTTTATTTTATTCCAGTGATGGCAAAGCTGAATTTTCAGCATCATTACTCCAGTCTTCTGTGTCACATGATCTTTCAAAAAACCATTCTAATATGCTAATTTAGAAATATTTCTTATAATTCTCAATGTTAAAACTAATTTTTGCTGCTTAATATTTTTGTTGAAATGACTACCATTCAAAGGGGTAAGGGGTAAGTAATATATATATATATATATATATATATATATATATTGTTCTTTTGAACTTTCTATTCATCAAAGAATCCTGAAAAAAAAAAAAGTTTAATGGTTTCCATAAAAATTGTCAACATTAATTATAATAATAAATGTTTCTTGAGCAGCAAATCAGCATATTATTACAATCCTTTCTGGTAGCACTTTAGTATAGGGACCAATTTTCACTATTAACTAGTTGCTTATTAGCATGCCTATTGTTAACATATTGGCTGTTTATTAGTACTTATAAAGCACATATTCTGCATGACCATATTCTACATGCCTAATCCTACCCAATAGCTAAACTTAACAACTACCTTGCTAAGTATTAAAAAGTAGCAAATTACGAGTTTACTGTAGTTAATGGCGAGAATTGGACCTTAAAATAAAGGGTGACCTAATTTCTGAAGGATCATGTGACACTGAAGACTGGAGGAATGGCTGCTGAAAATTCAGCTTTGCCTTCACAGGACTAAATGACACTTTAAAACATATTAAAATCTAAAACAGTTATTTTAAATTGTAATAATATTTGACAATTTTACTGATTTTACTGTATTTTTCATCAATTAAATGCAGCCTTTGTGAACATAAGAGACGCCTAAATTATTTTTCAATATTTGACCAGTAGTGTACAGGATTATATTAAGCAAATGATATCACTAGCAAAAAAAAATGCATCATTAAAATTACACAACATACAGAAAATGTTGATTTAAAATGACATCACTTATGGTATAACATTATGTCTCACACACCTCTCTCCTCCTATCGCTGTTCTCCTTTTGGAAATGCCACTTGATTGACACATGAGGAGATCTGGCCTGGCACTCCAGGAAGGCTGTGCTTCCCTCTACTCCATACTGCACTGTCTCCAACGTGTTCTTATTGGCTGGCAGGAATTAAAACAAAATACCATCTAAAACAATAACCAAAATCAAAAGGAGGTCTTTTACTTTTTCCAAAGTGTGTTTTAATAGACTAAAAGAATCTTAAGACTAAGTGTATTTTTTTGGTTTCTCACCATTCGAATTATAGCCCCTGCATTGTCTTATAGGGTTACCATACTTCACATCTTGCCTCCGACTCCGCCTACAAGATTCAGACAACCAATTTCAAAGGAGGAAATTAATTCAAACAAATCTTGCAGGTTATATTAAATTGTATTTTAAGTATAATGATCTGATAATAAAGATATTTACACACATGCAGCTCTCACCTTTTTTGGTTTGCTGAGTAGCGAGAGCAGGACTTTCCATCCCAGGCACAGTAAGGGTCTCTGGCCAAGCAGCAGTCAGCACAGGCCTCTCCGTACACATCACACCTGTGCAGCGCCAGATGAGTGACGCCCACCACTGAACTCACATACAGCTGTTGCTACACAGGAAGACAGGGGAAATAAAAGAACAGTTAGAAGAGTATCATTCAAAACACATCATATAGCGATTCAAAGAATATGTTCCATATTTGTAAGTTGCTTTGCATCAAACCATCTGCTAAATAACAATGTGAATAATCAGTTTTAAAACTATATATTATTACTATTAATATTTCAAAATGTATTTTTTACAAATGTTGTGCTTACCCGTTTTGGTGAAATTTTCATAGTAGTGATTGGAGTTGGAACCTGTAATAAGAATTATAGTTATATGTTATGAAAAAAAAAACATTTAAAATAGTATATAACAATAAATCTATTTGAGAATTTTATGAAATATAATAACATAAAAGATACATTTTAATAATAAAAAAGACAGTATATTGTTCTCAATATGTTGACACAAAGTGTAATGGAAATATAAAAAAAGAGGATCTTACTCTGAAGACCTCAACCTCCTCCAGCACCAGCTCTTCAGTCTGTAGATCATCTCTGGGCAGGACAATCACTTTATGAATAGTTCCTCTATCTGTAATTGACCCGAATATAGGAGTCAGAGCTATTTATAATATATAATATTCTTTTTGAGTGAATAAAGTTTCCTTCATTTTTCAGAAGAGCTTTATAAAAAGGCTTTTAGACCTCACAGTATGTATAAAATAAATATATTACTTAAAATGTGTATCAAGTTAACCTGTTCCCAAGAAAAGAACTTCATAGTTGCCATCAGCTGCAGCCACTTGGTCCACTGTGATGGTGGTGAACTCATAATCCACATTGGTACGGACCACTAGGGGGCGCTTGTGGACTGGATAAACAGCGTTGAACATGGTCGGATGGTTGCGCATGAAGTTGATAACCTCATCAGGGTAATCTTTAGTAGATTTCATGTTGGGGGTGAACGTCCCTCCTGGACACTGAAGTCACAGGGATAACATTTGTATTCCAGCATTTAAGACTGTCCAACATGAACTATCTTGTTCATATGATGTATTACAGTAAATGTTAGAGATGACACTCACTGTTCCTGGTCGGGGGTAAGGAATTTTACCCTGGTAGGCAACCCACTGGTAGTTTGGCCCTTCCTTATGAGCGAAAGGGCCATTGAAGACCATGCGGACATCAGCCATTGAATACACACATACTGCTGAACCTTTAAATACAGACCTAGAGATGCAGAAAGAGAAGAATTCAAGCGTTGAAACAAAAAGAGAGGTGGTAGACACAGTATTACACCAAATCACTCAGGCCTTGTCACACAGATATTGCAATATTGATGTACAAAGTAAAATATAGCTATCTAATTCTAATTTTATATATATATATATATATATACACACACACACACACATACATACACTGCCGTTCAAAAGTTTGGGATCAGTTAGAGCACACTATTTTAAAATTCGCACAAAATCAAATTTAACTCTCTTAAATACACATTTCCTGTCCTACTGTGCAAGATTCATCTGTGCATGAAATAAAATATGGTTGTCTTTATGAAAATCTGCTGATCACAATAACCATTTGGCGTAATATTGTATGTAATGTCACAATCCAATTAATTCCTTCTGGTTAAAATCAAGCCGTAAACTACATTTTTTTCACCCAGAAACAAACTGGGATCCAAATGTCAGAACACGCTGAAAATATGCAATTCAAAATCTAATTTAAACTTGGAAATAAACAAGGTTTCAGGTTTTTTAAATATTTAAAACAAAAACGTTATGCCCTAAAATAACTAAAAGAAATACACAAGATTGTGCACTATTACTAGGTCACTAATCAAATGAAGAAATTTGTAACAATAAGCATGTGAACTCCTTTGCACAAAAAGGTTCAAAATGCAAACTTGAGTGAATGTAATTAAAACAAAAGGGGGACAAACCAAATACTAAGAAATTAATAAATTCATACTAATTTCTCAGTTCAATTTTAGACTCAAATATATATGCTGCTGACAATATAATTTGTTATGGAAAAAAACTAAAGTATTTTCACTAGTGATCTTACTCTTTTGGACCCAACTATAACAGACATAAAATGAGTAGAGAAGGCAGTTTTACAAACAACATGAATACAAATACAGAGAGAAGAGACAGAGGGACAGATAGAGCTGTGAAATCACTTGCAGTTGATGGAGAGAGTTTTCACTATTATCACCAAGAATGGTGCTTTTGGGTATAAAGAGCCCAGACAGAGCCTGAGGGCTTCACCGATTTGATCTGAAATCTACAGCGAGACTGTGAATTGCTCTAACACACAAACAGCCTTGTGTATTTACACTGGATGATTAGCATGTGAACCTCATCTAAAATGTTGACAGATCCCTCTGAGGCCAGTTGTATAATATTTTAGCGTGTACGAATATCCTCTCCTGACCGCATCTGATAGCGGTGGTATTATGTAGGTAAGTCCTTATGAGAATATCACATATCAGATTCACAGAAAGGCTCCTTGCTTTGTGCTGTTGGAGGACTTGTACTATTGTCTGTGAAGCCTGTCAAACACTTGTTATTCAGTATGTTAGAAACAGTCTTCAGCAGCGGAGAAAATGGGGGTGTTGCCCCGTGGGCAACTGGAGTGTGAATATGAAAGCAAATATATTCAAGCTCCCTTTCCAATCTGATAAGCGGCCTGATTAGTAAGAGGCGTCGAGGAGAAGTAAGGATTGGATCTCGTATTTGGGGAGAGACCGTCGTGAACTTACGCACCCAGACACGGAGAAGACGCCATAGATGACGGGATTCTTGGTGTCTTGGGTCTTCTGGATGTACACATCCCCTGAAAGGAAGATTAAATTACTTTAGTTCCTGGATTTGAAGACAAATGAACTAATTCACATACTTAAGTGTGTACTTTGATGGTGAGAAGAAAGCACATACAATGAGTATTGTAATGGGACATATTATATTATAACATCATATGATTGTGTCCTGACACCACAGATTTCTACATTTCAAACTGTCAAGGCAGCTTTGGGTATTGCCTTTTATACTACTTTTGCACTGAAAAAGTCACAAATTCCTCCCTTGTTACTACACAAGGGGTTTTGGGAAAGATTAGCACACTTTGAAAATTCACTGGAAATCGTATGCCATTCAGACACCTCTCTGGCATGCTGTTTTCTACGGAGCCCCTGAGGGGACATGGTGGTGGGAAAAAATGAGAAGGGAGGTAAAATTATATCACATTACTTTTGTGTTCTCTCATAAAACTGCTGCGTTCCCCCGAGAAACTGTGTTTGCTCGCAAAACTTTTTGTGATGGAAATAATATAAAGTGAGAAGCAAAACCATGTGAAAAGCTTTAGCAACAAACGCAAACTTTCTTGGTTAAATGCAATACTTTTGTGAGAGACCGCAAATGCAAACGAATGCAACGTTTTTCAAGGGAATTCTTGTGTGAGAGAACATAAAAGCATTGGAATATAATTTTTCCTCCCACCTCCCATTTTTCCATCACCAGAGAGGGCTCCATAGTTTTCGATGTACTATGGGACACGCTTATTCCAATTTTGAGCTCTGTTTGTTTAAACGGCCTGGTATAGCAACAATGGCTAAACCAATATGGGGATGGATCTTTTTTTTTTTTTTGGAACAATAGAAGACGGGTGGATTATTTAAGAAAACCTGTTTGAAAACATTCACTATTTTTGCAGCTCAGTTTAGCACCACCGGTGACACCAAAATTTCTGCAGCTTCAAAAGTCTGCGAGTGTATGTGGGAAGTCATCAAATCTATCTCAGTTCAGTTACATCATACAAAACCCATCGCATTGAGAGGACAATCTTTCTCTCTTACTGTTCCTCTCTGTCTTTGTCTCCAAAATTCTTCAGCTTGTTTCAACACAAATTAACCACAAAGGACCAGTGATAGTCTGCTAGCCAAAACGAGAAAGATGAAAAAAGATAGAGGTACATAAAAAAGGTTAAAAGGGGGGCAGAAGGAAAGAAAAAAGGAGACTCAGATGGTTTAGGGAATAAGGAGGGCAAGCGGTAAAAGCATAGACAGATGTCCCATCAAAAACAGAAAGAAGATGATCTCAGACCGATAGTCACGGCTAAACGGACCAAGTAATCAAGTGCTGAGGGAAAATCCCACACTGCAGCGAATGAATCTCGCTCTTGCCAAACCACAAAAAACAACCCATAAAACCTCACTGCCCCGCTGAGGAAAAGGGAAAACATCTAGTCAAAAACTCCACTGACAAGTCCATTCCTCAAACACAGTGGCAGAGGGAGGGTGAATGACCAACCAAGTGAAAAAAAGAGGGCAGAGACGGAGAAAGGAGTCCTGAGGGTACCTTGTGCGCTATGTTACGGGAGCTGTGAAATGAAGCAAACACAGAACGACCGCTTACTCAATTTATGCACATTGCAAAAGCAATAAAATTGCAGCATTCATGCGCTTGCGTTTATTTGCCTCTGAAGAGTGGCAGAGGCTGTTACAGCTGGTTTGTCAGCCAATCCTATTCAGTCCTGTCAATCAAACTCTCCCACTCCGGGAAAGACTTCATTTTGTGTAAGCCTGTTAAGATGCAGCTTACATGCATGAGTTACCTCACACATGTGCACATAAATGCACAATCATGTATGAAGCATAATGTAAAACCACAAAAAAGAGAGATATTTTTATTTTCAGGCAGTTGTAGTACAACTTTTTAAAAGCCCAATTTGTCATTTTAAGCTCTACAGGAACTTCAATTTCATACTCCGAACTGCTTGCCTCTATATATTCCTCACAGGCCCTTGTGGCACTTTACGCTTACGCACAAATGCTACACGCTGCACATACAGGAAAGAGAGGAAATTACTTTTTCCAAGTTATACCCTCTGGAGAGACATATCCATTGAACCATCAGACATGAGCGGTTTCCACAAATGAGCTATATCATGCCCTATCCTGAAATAAGAGGCCTCTTATTTCAGCGAGTATATTGTGAAAATGAACAGAACAGAACTGAATATAATGTACCTTGGGCGAATACCTCACTGTATATATGGAGTCAATCAAATGGTAAAGCTGTTTTATTTCATTTTTTATAATCTCCACAGAATAATAGAACATAAAATGCCCCCAAGATATCTGAATTAGATGGAAAGATTTATCAAATAATCAGCACTTTGTACTATCATGTTTGTCTTAGACATGCACTATGACAATACCACATTTTTGGCCGTGTACCCTGCTAGTGCCATGGTAATCAGAATTAGAATGTCCCATTTTTAACATTGCTTTTAAATATTTTATATTCTTACTATGGTATTACACCTACAAAAATTTAACAAACAGTACATTAGTATTGCCATGGTAATATCATGGTATTTTGGATATTTACCATATTAAAAAAAACTCAAATTATATGTATATATATGTACTCAAATTATATTCAAAAGTACCATAGTTTTATCTGATCACACCAGTATTTTACCATGGTACCACAGCAGTAATTCAACTATATAGAATTGTCCTCTTGGACTGCTTGTATTTAATTTAAAATGTCCTGTTGTATTAAATTCAAACAGTCAAAAAGGACAATTAAAAATTGGCTTTAAAAAAAGTATTATTTTGGACTTAACAAAAGTAAATCTGACTTAATATTGTAAAGCATCCTGGTCTAAAGTTATTTAATCTAGATCAAATGTCAGTATTCAATACAAGAAATGATCAGATCACAGGAAAGTATACAGAATTTACAGCTCAGATAACAGAGAGACTTACGGAGCTCATCGAAATGTGTCTCCATGCCATCAGAGCCAGTCACAGAGCAGATGAGCCGAGCCTTCAGGAAGGTACTCCACTTATTCACCAGACAGCAGTGTCCTCCGTCATCATTCTGTAGACGAAGTGAGGTCATGTTAGCCATGAAGATTCACTGTTAGACACCACACAAATTCTAGCTGTATAGTTTGATTTGATGGACAAATTGACACTCTGTATGTGTGAAATTAAGGCATTGCTTTACATCAGTATCTGTCCCTCTCTCAAGGCTATTTATGTGGGTTTGCATTAACTGGCTGTGACTGGGTTGTAAACATTGGCTTTGAGCACTGCTCAGCCCCATCTGCTGTGGACAGCAGTCAACTTCAATAATGAGACGCAGCGATGCCCAGTGACCAGCCGCCAGCAGCTACCCACACATTACAAACATGCTTCTTTGATTCACATTAGACCAGCAAAAAATAACCAAGAAACAAGCGGTTGCTCATGTAGGAGGCATTGGACAATGATGGATCCCGAGGATCTGTCAATCAACAGTTCAGTCCTGCATGGACATAATTTCTTCAGTATCATGTTCAGCATAGGAACACCCAATAATTGAAAAATGTATAGTATATTGCAGTGCTTATAAAACAATGAATGGGATTATGTTAAGATTTAGTCACCCGCATGTCGTTCATCCAAACTCATATGACTTACTTCTTTCTGTGGAACGTAAACTAAGATATTTTGAAGAATGTACTTGTCTGTCTTTGCTGTACAGTGACAATTAAAGGGGACAGGAGCTTTTTTCAAGCTTAAAAAATGATGCAAAGGCATATAAAAAGTCTGTGAGACTATATATCAGGTCTTCTGAAACCATATGATAGCTCTGTGTGAGAAACAGACCGAAACCTGACAACACATTCCTGACATCCGTCCTACCTCTATTTGGCATCTTGTGAATGAAGCTCTGACTTTTCAATGAATCAGTTCACAAAACAGTCCAACTGATTCATTCTTGAATACTAATCCGGTTCTCGAGCTCAATGACTCATTGATTTGAATGAGGCAGTTCACAGCTCACCAGAGGGGATGATTATCAAAGAAAAACTACTCAAATTTTTGTGTGTAAGTACAAAAGTAATTGCTTATTGTGCAAATGTGACATGTTGTACAGGCCACTTAATAGCTCTTTTTAAAGCTTAAAATCTCTAGTCCTCATACTTTGTAACTGCATGGGAAAATGTAAGCACATTCTTCGATATTTCCCATTTTGAAACAACATGAAGGTGAATAAGTGAACTATGGCTTTTAGCATGTGTAGATATGTTTTACTGGAATATAAGACAAAGGTTAAGAAAATGTCTCACCAAACAAATCCTGCCAATCCTAGACTGAGCCATGGGAGTCTGACCCATCTCAGACGCCTTCTCACGGAAGAAGAAATACAGCTTGTCGTCATTCTTTTCTGCACTATCAGGGATGAGCTGAGCGTGGACGAAGGTTGGATCTAAAAGAAAACGAAAAAAGAGAGGAAGGGAAACAGCAAAAGAGATTAATTACAGTTGTAGCAGAAAGCAAAGAGAAAACAAAAAGGAGAGCAAAGGGATAATATTAAATAACACTTAGAAAGTGCAACTAATGCAAAGTGTCTGATGACCTCTTTCACAGTTAGTCTATCCTCTCATTCACTACACTGAACAGTCCACATGTAAGACATCTGTATGAAATTTGTGATGGTTATCACAGTGGACACTCATGATTAAAAAGGCTAAACTAAAGTAAAGAAGTCACGTGTAATACAAGGGAAACTCAGGTTAAAAAACTCAGAATCAGAATCAGAATGAGCTTTATTGCCAGGTATGTTTTCACATACGAGGAATTTGTTTTCATGACAGAAGCTTCCGCAGTGCAACAGAATGACAGCGACAGTACAAAAACACAGATAATAAAAGAAGAATAAAAAATAGAATAAGTAAATAAGAAATAAAAATATATAAATTGACAATTACTAGCCTTTCAATAAGACAGTTTTGTATGTACAGGTATATTATGTGCAAATTTGAGGTGTAGAATAAGTGTGTGTGTTAGATAAATAAGTGTATGAGTGAATAAATAGTGTTGTGTGTTCCACAGTTATTGTCAATTAACTGTGTATAAAATATTTGTAGTAAAATATACAACATTTTTGTATATTTCTCAAAGAACAATGCTAATGAAAACTGTTAGATAAAGTTGGCAGGGAAAAAATATTTTTGTTAGTTTGCAAAAGAATATGAACATGTTCCTGTGGCTCAGTGGTAGAGTACTGCGTTAGCATCGCAAAAGGTCGTGGGTTCAATTCCCAGGGAACACACATACTGGTAAAAAATGTATAGCCTGAATGCACTGTAAGTCGCTTTGGATAAAAGCGTCTGCTTAATGCATAAATAAAAAAAAACTGCCTTTAATGTGACAATTCAGGGTAAATAAATATAATATTTAAATACATTTCAGAAAATACAAAAAAATAACTAATGAAATCACAGCTATAATATAGTCAGGGATTATAAAAAGGGTCAAGGATTGAGTTTAACTAGGCAGTAATTGCTTAAGGGGTATTATTTTGCAAAAGTGAATGAAATATGAGGTTTGAAGGAGGTAGGATGAAGGGTCAGTGTTGAATATTCATATCTGGCACTTTCCCCACTAAACAAAGAACTTTGTCTTGATGGTATGCCATGGTTCAAAAATTTTGTGCGTACCGTGGAGCCAGCGGGAGTTATACTGGTCGGTCCTCATGGCAGTGTGTTTTCCCAACGTGCGAAAGATGGCAGAGTCTGTTCCCATAAAATCGATGTAGACACCGGCGTACAACTGGCCATCTGCCAAAACAGAGCAAGCGTAAAGGAGATAACGAGAGCTAGATAGATAAACTTGAGAAAAATGAGTCTGAAACAAAAGAAATTATGTTTTGTATATTTTCTAAAAGTATTGAAAAGTAGTATGATGGCAATGAGCGGTACGTACTTATCAGAGCTGAGACGCTGTTTAGTTTGGGGTCAAAGGGGCATTTCCCCTTCCCAGAATCTACTTTACCAGGCTCCAGTCGGAAAATGTATTCCTGGAACAGGGAGAGCATGAAGGTTTCATTAATGACAGCGCAACAGATCACATTAGATGAGCAGTATTGATTCTCAGCTTACTTGGATACTTTAAGTTTCCAGTGTTTAAGAGGTATAGCCAGGAAGTGAAATGCACATAGGTTCACTGGGATAAATGAAAACAAAAACTAGCTGAGGTTGTAATATAATTGAAATATCTTAAGGCAACCTATTGTTTGTGCTTTTTAAATGTTGGAGTCTAACATATTGTCTAATGCCAACACCAATATCTTGCCATTTGACAAAAGAGAGCTAGTATAAAACTGCCCAGAAAAAAGAAATGAATGCCATAATCCAAGGTTTCCAAGGTTCTTGGTAGTTGCCAAAGAAAATGAACAGTTTCTCACAATCAACTTCTCAACATATGAATCTAAAATAGTCTATGGTTTTGTTGGGTTAGTGACAACTATTGCATTGCTGGTATTTAGAAAAACAAAATCTCTTTAAGCTAATAGTCCACTTCACTCCATGCAGTTTGCATTCCATCTACAGTTAAACAGATGCAAAACAGTATTATTAAAAAGCTTGGTGACTGCTGGATTTGCACCAAATATGCACAACAACATCTAACATGAATTAACACATTAACTAAAATCTAAGCAGAGATGTAGAAGGACATCTAAAGAGTCTACAACATGTTGCAAAAAACTTATCAGCAATTCAGCAAATTCAAGTCTCAACAATGACTTGCTTTGGATAATATACAAAAAAGTTTTTGGAACCTTTCTACTTTCCAAGCTTTACACGCACACCACAAATGTAATATAAGCCACGGATAAATTTTCTGCTGACTAACCACTTTCAAACATGATGGAGTTTGGGTGTGGGAGTAATCTTTGCACGTTCTGCTAGATTTCTGCGCCAAAGGCAGGCTCTGGACAAGTGTAGGCAAACTTGAGAAAGACAAGCTCTAAAGACAACAGTCCCTCTGCTGTTTCTCTCAACGCCTTTAGCGGTCGAGGAAACCAGCTGCTGAAAATCCAAATAGTGTGAGAACAGAACCTTTCCTTAAACTTCTAAGCAAAAAAAAAAAAACATATCTTGTAAGTGCATCTTAAGGGGGAAAAAAAGGCCACAAGAGAGTACAAAAAGGACCTCATCCCACTGAAGTGTTCATTTCCCACCTTGGGTGCATATGGTTCTGGTGAGGTACTAGGATCTGCGGCTCGACTGGTTCTGCCTCCCGCAGGAGACATCTGATCTTGGAGCATGCCCTATAAAACAAGGTGTGTGCCTCAATAAAGACCTGTTTCTAGGACCCAAGAGAACGTTCAAGGCTGTGTCCAAACAAGAAGATGTTGAGATGCTAGAAAGATGGCTGCAGTTTGGTATATCCATAGTGGACAAAGATGAGTTGATATTAAGTTGTCTAAAACATGCACATGCTGAAAAGCCTTGATAGCACATTCCCATTGCATATGAAAAAAACAAAAAACAGACATGCATATTGCAGAACCCCACAAAAGAACAAAAAATGCAGTAGAATCCAAAAGCCTGAGACCAGTGAAAATGCTCATTTTATAATAATAATTGAATACATTTTTTATTAACTGCTAATTATTGAATCAATATGTGAGTGGAAAAAAAATTAGGTTCACATGATCAGTCACAAATTTGCTTATATTTGAAAATTGACCGAGAAATAGCACAGAATTTTTACTTTTTTTTTTCTTTCAGACCTTTATTTCCAGTTTAATATTTCAAGTAAAAAAAAAAAACTTTCCAGATTTCCAATGTGATCTCAGACTTTTTTGAATGATGTTTTTATGGACAGTGGTTAATAATGGGACATGGTCATGGGAAAGAAGGTAGGTGAAATTAGGACTATGTTTAAATGCAATTATCCTCCTATACACTAGGAAGAGTTTTTGAAGTAACAGAGTCAAAAAGACATGCAGGTGGTAAAGATTATCTTGTTTGTTCCAGGGTGGAGAAACATTCCTCTCTAATGACATAATACCTTTTGACTAAGGTAGACAACAGTTTGAACCCTTGACCTGCAAATGGTAGCAGGTCACCTGCGAATGACAGTTTACCTGTGCCCTTTGACCTCTGTCCACATAGGTACAGATGGGGTTGTAAGCTCCCGTTCCGCACACATACAGGTGAGTCCTGTTCCATGGCTCGATTAGACGGATGAAATTACCACACTCGCCCTGTTGACACAGAACAGAATGATATCAGCGATGCTGTCATGGAGAAATTATACTTTCAGATGGATATTCTACTGACATGCTCACGTTGGAATAACCAGCTAAGGATTTACAAAGATTGTGGTAATTAGTAGTGATCCACGATATTAAAATTCTGAGGAAAAAAATTAGAAAAAATGGCACCTATAAAAATATAAACAAAGAATATTTAAAAAATAATAGAAATTATTACATACTACTATTCAAAATATTGGTGTTGGTAACATTTTTGAAAGTATTTTTGAAAGAGTTCTCTTATGCTTTCTTTAAAACTAAAATTGTAAAATATTACAATTTAGTATAACTGTTTTCTATTTTAATATATTTTAAAATGTGATTAATAGAAAGATCAAAAGAACAGCATTTGTTTAAAATAAATATTTTGTATCTTTGTCACTTTGGATCGATTTAATGCATTCTTTCTGAATTCAAGCATTAATTTCCTTAAAAAAAAAAAAAACTTTGATAAATAAATAAATAATTAAATAAGTACAGCAGAAAAGAATATCCACATTTTTTCTTGGCGGATTCTTACATTGATGTCTTTTCCTGAGAGAACACACTCAGTCCTCCTCTGAGGAGTCACAGGCCAATGAATCTGAGGAAAAAGGCGAATGTCAGTCATCCTAATCTACTGACCAGATTCAAGTTTACCGCTGCCAAGCCTTGTTTATAGTTTGGTTTGTTGCAATCTCTATTGTGTAACTGAGAAATCTTACTATGAGGGGCTCTTTGTTGATGTCGTTCAGGTCTAGTGACAGGATGTAGTCCTTGCTGCCCACGTACATGCGATCATGGTCCTCGTCCATACGAAGGATTCTGTAGTCCGTCGAGTTGAGCAGAAAAGCAAAGTGATGGGCAGTTCCAGTAGACTTAAGCTCTAAAAAGGACAGAGTGAAAGAGTCCATTTATTTATTTAGCAGATGCTTTTATTAAAAGCAACACACAAACCATGCAGGAAAATAAATACTTTCCAAGCGAGAATTTAATTTTAAAAAAAATGTTTGTAATAGAAGTGCCTTTTATATGGTTATGGAAATGTTGAAGGGTCAGTTCTGCCACAAGCAGCACCAAATATAATTGCAAAAATAGTGATTGTTTCAAACTAGCTTCCACATCTGCCCACGGTCAAATGATATGCTATAAACATGCTATTGGTTAAAACAATGTTGGGTTAGCTGGGTACTTGAACTGCACAACTCTACAGCAACTCATCCCAGATAAGACTTGAACCCACAATGCTGAGCGTAGGAGGCCAGAGCTTCTCTGGACTGTTGGTCACATTGTTTTATTGCCCATTTGTTTTACTCACAGTAGTTTCTGGAATTCATACGGACACATGGACTTGTCAGTGCAATTAGGATTATGAACATTAAAGATAATGAAAACAAAATAACAGAAGCAGCCTGAACGCTTATCAACACCTTAAAAGATTTATTAAATATAATAGGCATAGGCTTTCTATTGGATGCATAGCCAAGCTCCAACTCTGCAAACTCTACAAGGACTCACATACAACTAATCCAAACACCACAAGTGTTGCCAAGTCACAGTAGTTCCTCAATAAAACGGCATCTGTGCTGCTGCATGAATATGACCAGTCTGGAGTCTTCCCTGAGGTTCAATGCCCTGGCTACATTCCTACGTCCTTTGTTATTATTATTGTTACAGTCCTGTTTTTACAGGGTGGATTTCTTGGGGAATTTTGGCTCTCGGAGCGTTCTCGTGGGGCCTCCCTGAGTCTTATATATTACCAATACTGAGGTGTCATGCATTATTTTCCTCTTCCCCCAACAAGCTTGGTTCCCTTTGTTGGAAACTGAGTGCAGTATATGTGGCACTACATTAGATATCATAACCATTATAGGTTATGGTTCATGGAGTTCACAGCACAGTCCCTTTGGATGACCATAGAGGACTGTGTCAGATGTTGAAGGAAACCTCTGAAGAATGTAATGACACAATGCTACTGTAACACAACATATTTGCTTCTGTCTCTGATAAAATCTAATTGAGAATCAACTGCAGAATGGTAGATGTTGGAGAAAGAAATAATTCATTGCAGATAGTTGGCAAAGCATATACAACAAAGATTGGCCAAGCACAATTGCAATTCCAAATCTTACTGTAACAATTCCCCATTCTATTGTGAAACAGATCGGTGCTAAAAGTCTGAAGCACATGCTTACACTTAGCAGCCCAAGGTCAAATTTGCAACTTCATAATGAAAAGAGACACCAGACCACGTAACCACGTTTTAGAAAGACATAATTTCTGATTGCTCTAGGCCCAATGGATGGAAAAGTGCCATCAAAGTCTTTCAAAAATAAACGAAATAATCTGTAATACAACCGCAAGAACATGATGTCTACATAGATGTAACAAAAAACGTTTAAAATAGGATAAATGCAGCCTCGGCTTACTTTTTTGACTTGGTTATTGTTTGTGGTTTGTATAGCAATAATGATATTTTGTGAAATTTTGCTTTGGAAATAATCACAAAGTTGAACAATATATATAATAAAACATAGTATATCATTTTCTCACCAAACTCCCTAATTTTCCTTTTGACCAAAATTACATAAAAACGTCTCCAATTTTACTTAAAACATATTATGTTGTAGATTGACTGGTCTTATAAAAAGAAATGGACTTATTCATGACAGGAAAGGCTTTTTTAAGCATGTTTAAAAATATATATTCATTTTATAACAAGAGCCAACAGTCAAGCTTGGCAGAATGTTTCACTGGGAAGTTTGGTAATCTAATGGAATGTGCAAGCCATAGAGAAGCAACCGTCTCTGCAAAGTACCAGTATATGAACGTTCTATCAGAAGACACAATCTACACCACTCTTATACAAAGAGATTTAGCATGGGGACAACATAAAATCTCATTTACCTGTGTGGGCATTCCTGGCACATAGCTAGAATTCCTCATCTCTATCATTTCAGGTTTCTAATTAAGCACAAGGGCAGGTCCACCATGTTCCAACAAGTAGTCAACCATGTCTGGCGTGTCTTTGCAAGCACTAATAATGCACTCTAGTAACAATCTCTATAAAGAAAATAGCAGGATTTTTGATATCAAGTTATGTTCTGGCATAATATAACACATTGTCTTTAACATTTTAGATCTGAAACTAGGGTTGGGTACCGAAAATAATTTCCCGACTGAGAAAATGCACATGAACACAAGTCGGAAAGCTCTAATAATACAAATCCAACAAATCTTTGTAGTAACGAGTGTCCATGTTGTTTTCACATTCCGACTTAAAAGCATAACTCGGGAAATGAGAGCATCCGAGGAGCGCGTGAATGCAGTAATTACACTTGCTCTGATGGCAGCAGGTAGCCTTCCGTTAACTAAGCTAAACATGCTTAAATTGAAATGCCTAAAGCTAAACTTCCTGTGTATTGACATTTCTAAACTTGTTGTCCAACAAAAGAGAACATTATAACCTGAATGAAACAGACATCATGTGTTTATAGTGCTAATGGGCAATCCATCATTTTTGGGGGGAATTTTTATTTATTTATTTTTTAATAAGTATCGGTTCAGGCACCATTTAGGCACCGGAACTGTTTTAAAAGTATCGATTTGGCATCGGTATCGAAAAAAACAAAAAACGATACCCAACCCTATCTGAAACTAGGGGGAATGTGATCGCATTGTGTTGCAAACCAAATTTGAACTGGCTTGTGACTGGCAAAGACACTTGAAGGACATCTGCAGCAACTAGTTTTTAGTACTACTTTAGTATCTACTGTCTGCAGTGACAACTTAATTTCATCTTACACAATCACACAAACATTTAATTTTATCTTTGGAGATTGAGCTTTATCTTCAGCTGTCCAGCCTAAATGATCACTTGAAGATTAGGTCTTATCTTATGGCTTTAAAGGGCTGTCACTTGACAGATCGCATGGATTAGAGTGACCGGTTGAAGGATGGTGGACCGAATATGATGGAGGGAGAGACCTTACCTGTGTGTGACTTTAACTGAATGAAAACTTTCCTCTCACGTTCAGCATGTGAAGCATTGATTTTAACAGCCCTCATCCCTGACAGAGGATTATTCCATCATCCTTATCTTCTGGGAAGACAGGACAGGGTGATTAAAGCAAAGGATTTAATCAAACCACACAGATAAAATGTCTTTTTTCTCTCTCATCTGTCCATCAAAGTCTTATGACAAATAAGGGCAAACAGAAAAATGTGCAACTTGCCGAGTGTATGGTAGAGGTACCCTACTACGTCAGAAACCATGAGGGACACATTTAATCTGCAACACAATATATATACATATACTTGGCCCCAAGTAGTATTTGAACAGTTAAGCCACACTTTAAATACATTTCTATCATGACAACTCTCGGAGGGATTGGCATGGTAATGTACATGACAATGTTAATGTATTTGGTCTTGGTGGAATAGATCTGCTATGCTGCTGCGGCAGAGCAAGTACAGAGACTTGCTACTGCCAATATATCCACAACATGCTGCTGTGAGCATGTAAGAAATATTGCTGCTGCAAATATAACTCTGAAGCAAGCTGCAACTGCTACGGCAATCACTAGTCATATATTGAGCAGCGAGATCATTGGCTACCGATACAGGAGAGAACCAATCAGCTGTGCCATGTGATAAATGATGTCATTAGGTCAGATTGAGTTAGACCTATCGGACTTCGCCATCTAGAGTTTCATGCAAGAACTCTGTATGTATTTCATATGGCATATGTCTATGGCAAGTAACTTCATTTTTCTTTTTTTAAGTGGGCCTGTAAATAAATGTAAAGGTTTAGAAAAGTGGCTTTCAAAGCATTTAAAGACCTTTGAACTATACGTGAGGCATCCACACAAGCACATCTGACCTCTAAGTTCACCAAGTACCATGAATGAAAAAATAAAAGTATCATACTACTTTTACAATAAGCTCTTATTGTAAATCGTTTCACTATGTTTAAACTTTCACAGTTAGAATGACTTTGCACACAAAAATAAAAATGCACTGCCTGATTTTTACAAGAAAATATGTACTTTGGCCATTTAAGTCACATATCAAACCAAGTGTCCGGTTTCCCTTAAGTTAATACAGGTGCCACAGCAGAATAACCACCGATGTTCATTGTATTAATGTTCCACAAAATATGACAAATAGAAAGTGTCAAAGGATTTTTTGTTTGTATTCATTTTGAACATTACATTTATTGTTTTATATTTTGAACAGCCTTTCTGTGAAATGTTTTGATTGAATAGTGTCTATTGAATAAAATAAAATAAAAATTATATATACTGCAAAGTGATAAAAATGTTTGTGCCTTCAGTGACCAAATAATTTTTGTGGCCACTGTACATTCATAAGCAGGCATGTCACTAGCAGGCTGTTTAGTATCATTGACCTACGGGGAAATGCTCCTCATGTGAGGAGAACTTATAAAGCAAATGAGAAATAAGCCAAAGAAGAGTGAATTGGGGAGAACAGTGATGAATTAATAGAACATAGGAAAAAGAGAAACAAAATGGCACAGATGAAGAAAGAGAGGAGGAGATGGAGGTGTGTGAATCGGTTGGGAGTCTCCCCTCAGGGATTGGTGGGAGCCGTTGTTTGCTTTGGCCCACAGTTTCAGTGAGTGAGGGTCATAGATCACGCTCACAGACACAGGCACACACTCAATGACAAATCGAGCACCACGTGTTACCCTGACCCATGCGATCCTACAGTGAATTGTTTCTGAAAACTCTTCATTTCTCCCTTTTCACAAACAGCAACCCAACAGCAGAAACATGGTAATAAACTAGCAGGCTGTTTAGTATCATTGACCTATGGGGAAATGCTCCTCATGTGAGGAGAACTTATAAAGCAAATGAGAAATAA